TACATAATATTATAATACTATTATATTCGCTACTTATGCTACAAAAAACAATTAATTTAATATTCACCCTACCGATATGCAATATCTCGTCAAATTATCTCGATAATTAGTTTATTTTTAATTACATTTTTATCTAATAGGTATTGTATTGCGGTAATAAAGTTAGTTTTTAAATAAAATGTCACTAAAAACATGTTTTCTGATACAATTTGTTAAAAATATTATTATTATTTTTTTTTTTTTTTTAGAATACTATAATAATCATCTGAATTTAAATTTTACAACAGAATGAGTAAATATTATGAATAATAAACATATACCTAATATAAATATAAATATCTAGTTATTTAATTAATTTTAGCTGTACAAGTTTAAGAGATCTCAACACGAGAACCTTTTTAAACGATGTGAGGAGTTATCAGTGATGGGTGTGAATGAGAATCATCCTCTCGCTTCTCTTCCAAACAAACTACTTTTATTAAGTGSGTAATAAAGAATTCGTCCAAACGTAAGACGCCCAATGACAATATATGTGAAACAAAAGAGTGGGGATTTAGATGTGATCTAAAGTTTGGTGTGTAATTTACTATAATTTAGTATAGTTTTTGGATAGTTGCTCAACTGCAGATGATAAAGTATTTAAATTTTTTCTAATAATAAACTATTATACATAGTAAACTAATACTTTTATTTTGTATAATCTCTTTAACTTAAAAAACATAGTTTTAATATAACTAAAAAAACTTACCATTGCTGATCTAAGGGTAAAGAAATGTCAATGTCTTCTACAAAATTTAAAGGCTTTATGTTTGATAAACTTAATGTTGGACGGTTTGATTGACCTAAAAAAAAATATAYATGYATAAATATAGGTACTTATATAATCCTTTTATACTTTATATAAGCTATAGATTTATATGGACTAATATTGTTTAAATCAATTTACAATGTTTAAGTATAATAATTGACTCGTTAAGAAAAATTTCTTAAAATAACCCTTAAAATATTTTACACAAATTTTACCGATGACGTCATATTTCTTAAATATAATTTATATTTTTAACATATGATACTTAATTCACTGGCTATTGTTTATACTTATATTACGATTTTTAAAATAATGAAAATCAAGTTTAAATACATTTTAACAGTATTTTTATCAATAGTTTACTATTTAATTCATATCAGTTGCTACTTCAGATATTTGCTATWAGTACTTGATTAAAGATTATAAAATTATTGATATCATAAATTTCTTATTGTAAACTGTTTATTAATATTAATATTAACTATGTTTTGAATTTTTGATACCTTATATGTTTAGTCACATACCTATTACCTGCATATATTGTTAGTATATGTACTGGTTTTAAATGTCTTAATTTAAATTAATTCAACATAAGTGTTTTATATGACATATACTTAAATGGCTACATA